AAAAAAAAAAAACAACAAAAAAGTTGCAGAAAGAATTCTTTGAGACACATTTCTAATGAGACACTTTGCTACAACTCATTTTGCTTCACGTAATAACATGTATGTACATTGGTAGATCTGTAATTCATAATTTACAGAATGGAGATAGGCATACGCTATACTGTTCGCAAACGGCGCTGCCGGATCTTGAGTATAATATACCGTGTCGAGGAGCAGGTGAATAACGAGCGGACCATTACGTATACAGTTGGCACGCGAGAGGCGCGCTATCATGGCACAGTAGGCCATTGGGAGAGCCTCGGCGAACGCCACGATTTTGTGTGCGGTGCGTTGTCGGTCTTGCCAATCGTGCGGTGCCGAGTTCGTAAACTTTTCAAAAGTTGTTGTGCAGTTTTTATCACAATATCGTTAATATCTTCCAAGGAATTATAGACTTTTATTGTGCAATCTCTGAATACGTGCCGCTTAATTTTTAAACTGCATCTTTATATTTTTATGATATTTTGATCACTTGTTTCTAAATCAATTTTGTTTATTTATTTTTTCTTTTTCTTTTAATATCTAACAATAATTTACTTGTTCATAAAACATGTCCAAGTAAAGGCCCCATTTTTTTGTGGGGGGGAATAAAAAAAATTCACGACGTAATTTAGTGTTCGTGCGTAGACGACGTTGTGCAAGCGTCAGCTAAGTAAGGCGCTTTCGTTTGAGCAACGGAAAAAAAAAGTACTTCACACTCTGGGTTATACATTGTACACCTTGTCGTTGACGTGTTATAATTACGCATGTATATAAAGGTAACTTATGTAAAACATCGAGACCCACGCGGGTGTAACGGAAGTAGAGCCCTACAAAAACGTCTCGCTTGGTTTCGCCAAAATTTCGCCCGCAGACGAGGTACAGCGATCGTGAACTCTTGCGACTGGCCACGCTGTCCCAACCGAGATTCCGAAACTTCGGCCTTTTTACCGTATCCGTAAGTTTTTTCTTTTACTTATGCTTTGAGCCTAAATCACGCAATGATTATTTTATACCTGTACTGGTCAGGTGTCACATACACATTTTTCCAAAGTCCGCGATACGGTAAAAAGTTCGTTTGACGCGAGAAATGATGCAGATCGGGAGTTTGGAGGAAGCCTTTATCCATCGGGATGGTTTTCTCCTCGAGTCATCCTCTTTCACTTTTGCGGCTTGATCGAGAAATGCAAATTTAATTGGGTGGCGTCAGGCGAGGAGATGAGCAGAGAGAGCTCGATTTCACGGATATGATGATTCAGGGAGTCGAGTGCTAATGAGCTTCCTCACTATCGATTTCTTTTTGCACAAAAAAGATCGTCGATATTCGAAGATCACGAACAGGTATGACTAGAGATTTTGATCGCCTTTGCGACAAAAGTTCTTATGAAAGAAAGTGCTCATTTAAAATTGCTCGAGAAAAATTGAAGAAACTTTGTACAATAAAGTTAGTGTAACTATAGGAGCAAGGAGAATGGGTCATAAACAAATGTTGAGAAAAAAAAATTTGCTGATTCTGCGCTAAAATTCTGAACTAGCGATTTTTTCCATCAAGCCGTCGAATTCAATTTACCAATAACATGAATAGTGAAAATAATTCGTGACCTTTCGAAACTCTCTATACAACCGATCGGTTGCTGTACACATTATCACATTAATATTATGCATAAGGCTGTCAGTAGTTGGTCACTTGATAATTTTCCTTGTGATTCATGGCCATTGCTGTAACTTTTAGTTGGGGCTTAGTTCTACTACCCATAGTACCCAAGGAATAATCAAGTAGCAATTAGAAAGAAAGAAACACGTTCTTGATCGAAACTGTATACTTTAACAGTTTTTTTTTTTTTTTTTTCCACTTACTGGTCTAAAAGTGGACAATTAAAATTCTTCGACTAATTGTTTGGAAAGTTATTATTCTTGAACTTATTAAAAAAAAAAAAAAAAAAAAGTAATGTAAATTACGGAATCATACCTTGAGATTGCTGTCACTCTTCCTCTACTCATATTTAAAAACCATGGTAAAGTTTTTTTGCATTTGTGCAGGTGTACAATATGCGCATCACATGTACACGCCGATTCGTGCGGCTAGTAATATTTATCGCTGCGTATGAATTTTAATATGTAACAAATCTAAGTCGGAAGGAATTAAAAATAAAAGAAGTCAACAAATCGATCATGTTTTAATTAATACGGTTTAATGCGATTAAATTTTTTGAGTGGACAATTAACTGTTTAAATTATTGAAAAAATTGTGAATTCTTCTACTTTATTATGAGCATAGCATTGTTAGCAAGTAAAATTTATAAAGGGCCATTTTCAATCTACAATAAACACGTTCATACGTATACACATGTGCATGCAAAAAAAGAAAAAAAATGTATAAAAATAATACATAAATAGTGGGAAATGATTATGTGTTTCATCTGAAAAGATCTACGTGACCTATATAAAAAGAATTAAATAACTGTGTATAATTATCATTCTGAGAAAAACTGTGATTTGTTCAACAGCTCGGAGGATCACAGAAACAGATAAAAATGGCGAAGAAAATGAGAGACGCATCCAAGTACTTGCTGTTGCCACCGCTGCTGAACTTAGTGGTTTTCGCAAGGTTGGCCATGTGTTTCAAAGAGTACAGTCCACCACTACCGACAGCGCAAAAACTACAGCTGGTGTACTCCTGGAAGTCCACCGACTTTGCTTTTGATAGCGAGGCGGACCTTGAGGCTGCCATCAAAAATGGCACGTACCGACCTGGAGCTGCTTTACCGATTGACGTCGACGTGTATTACGGTATGTTTGTTACAGGGTTGGTGCGTTTCAAGAATAAATTAATAGAACGCGATGATAAAGTAAATAATATTGTTAAACGTTTTTTAACGCAGGAAGAAAAAGAGTCGTCGGTTTTGACCTACTGACAGGGCTCGTAAACAAGTCGTAAAATTTTTTTATGGGTTTTGCTTGCTATACTACCGTTTCGTGTATACATCCATGTGCTTTGAAAATTATTTGCTCGACCTCTAAAAGTAATTTTCTCCCTCATACTCTCTCAAACCGAGTCAGGAAAAATTTAGCCAGTAATTTTCTAATATTTTATATAAATATAAGTTGAAATCCCGTTAAAAAGTAACATTTGTCAACATATTGTTCGTTAAAAGGTAAAAGCGGTGCCAAGGTTTTCGTCACGATGCCTCGCCTGGAGCGAGGGATACCAGCAACGCTGGGCTACGTACTCGATGAGCTGTCCGACAACGGCCAGCCCCTGATTAGCCCTTTTCCCAACTGGAACTGGAACACCCTTAGAGACGACTGCGACTCTCTTACGAGTGTTTTCAGGGTTCAGGTAAAAAAAAAAAAAAAAAAAAAAAATAGGCGTAGGTGTGAAAGCCAACACGCCAAGGATAAAATAAAATAACACGAGTGAACACTTTTATCGCGACGGAAGAGCAGATAGACGAGTGTGACAGGCTGTGGGTGCTCGACACCGGGGTTTTGGGGGAAAGTAGGCTCTGCCCGCCCCAGCTGCTCTCCTTCTCGCTAAAGACCAACAAACTGCTGAGCCGCTATCGTTTCCCCACCGATCAATACGAGTACTACAGATCACTGCTCGTGACGCTCGTCGTTGACATAAGGATCGAGCCCTACGCGGCTGACAAGTCGTGCCGCGACACCTTCGTCTACGTGGCCGACATCACGGCTTTCGGGCTGATCGTCTACGATCACGCCTCGGTTCGCTCCTGGAAGATCATCAATAACCTTTTCTACCCGTATCCCCAGCACGGGACCTTCTACATACAGGGCGAGATCTTCGATCTCATGGATGGCATTATCGGGATGGCCCTCGGTCCCGTCCAACCCGACGGTGACAGGACCCTGTACTTCCACTCCCTTGCGAGTCGCGTCGAGTCTCACGTGCCAACGTCCATCATTAGGTATACTGTGAAATCTTACATGAAATGCCTCTCCAAATGATACAGATATTTTAGCGTATGACATCAGAGAGCACGACTTGTTGCAGTAAAGACTCTAGATCTTGAAAGATTTCACCAACTCCTGCATAGTTACAAAATGCAACTGATGTTATTATCATCTAATTGGTGGTTTATCTCTAGGAACTACACGCTGTTTCACGACAACCCGTACGCGGCACCACGTGCCTTCGAAGCCTTTCCCATGGAAAGGTCCTCGCAGTCAGCGGCCCAAGCAATGGACCGCAACGGCGTCCTATATTTTGGTCTGATGAGTGACTTGGCCATCGGGTGCTGGAACAGCAAGCAGTTTCCCGAGTTTGGGGGCCGCAACATTCATAATGTCGTTGTCAACGAAGAGACGCTGCAGTTTGCCTCCGGTGTGAAGGTCAGTGCTTGTGTATAGATTGCTCCGCAAACTCGAGTATACCGAGTGTACTGTAGGAGGAAATCGTGTACTTAACTGAGAGAAAAAAAAAGTAATAAAAATTATAGAGAAATTCCAGCAGAAAATAACATTCTGCACGATAAATCGAAGGCAAGCTGGCAAAAAAATAAAAAGTTATTATTTGTAACAGTAAAAGTTATTTTTTTACTAATTAAAAATAATTAATCTTTAACAATAATTCATCCGATTTACTGAGAAAAATGGTAATTTTTGTTGGAATTCTCTCTAATTTTTATTACTTTGTTTCTCTCAATGTACAAAGATTTTATAGGTTGGTAAAAAAAAAAAAAATAAAATAAAACAGTATAAACTCCAATAAAGAAAGATTATCTTAGATTGGGGTTGAAAAAGCAGATAAACTAAAGAATTATTTTAACTGCAGTACGGCTATTATATTTATGTAATTTTTTTTTTGCTGCCTTATTTGACACTACAACATTAAAGGAAAAAAAATTTACCTAAATTTTTGGGTAAAATACAAACAAAGTATTGAGTATTATAAAATCTGCTGCTGTACCCAAATAAAGGATCGTCCAAGCAGCTTAGTTTGTATTGAAAACATTTTTAATTTTAGTTTAATTAAAGATACTCAGAGCACAATCATCATTTTATTTTTCATGATAAAAAAAAATTCAATAACAAGAGTGTACATGTTTGCCTTGCAGTCCCCTATTCTACGTTATTATTACATAGCAATACACTTATAAAAAAATTGAAATGGTAAGTACAGTTAACTGAAAACTATTTAAATGACAGGTCGTAAATGACAATGGCCTACAAGTGCTGTGGGTTCTGACCTCTTCTTTTCATCGATACACGAGCGGTAGCCTCAAGATCAACGAGACGAACTTTCGGATCCAAGCAGCCTTTACCCAAGAGCTAGTGCGCGGTACCAAGTGCGACTTTGACGCTCGGGATATTTACAACAGCGGCTGGCAGAAGCCGCTCAACAGGTTACCAACGATAGATTGAAACGCGTGGTACCGCGAGACGTATTATTGTTGTTACCACTGTTTCAACGATTTCCACCGACACCTGCCCAACTATTACGACTACTTTTACGACCAAGAGGTGCCTTATTATTACTTCTCGCGGTACCGAATGCATACTTGCCATTGTGCCACAACGTGTCCACACGGCCATTACGATTGTAGACACTACTCGAGATTCTCTGATTCTGTTTTTCGTCGATTCTCCATCGATCACGAATGTCATTAATGATTTTAAGCCATGATCGCTTCGCGCAAGTGCTTAAAGTGTATTTTTCGCGGATCAATTTGGAGCAATCATCGAATTATTTTACGTAAAAATATGTGTATAATTTATAACTTTGATTCAAATGGCAATACTAACAATTTATTCGTCAATATAAACTGATATTATTGCCATCAAAGTTATTGTTCAAATTTCACTATCATTAAAATGATTGATCAATTATGTGTGTGATTGTTAAATAAATATAATTTATGAATAAGAGTTATTCCATAAGTTGTAAACCCTGTTATATAATATGTATACTGATTAGCATTTAGTTATAAAAGTTATTAAAGAGACTTGAGTATTTATTTTGTTTTTAATTATTTTCACTTGAAATAACGTATTATTATCAATAAATATTACTAACCTGTGAATTTCAAAAATATAGTTTAATTATCTATTAATCGATTAATAAACATCATGTCTATTTGATAACTTCATAACAATGACTATCAAGTGCAATATTCTTGATAAAATTTTTCATGTTAAAAA